ATACAATAATACTTTTTAAAAATCAAACGGTTTAGCCGCAAACTTCCGTGCCGTATAGCGTGAATAACCCTGTATATTATAATTTTTATATGTTCTATAGCATTTTACCAATCATGAGTTTGTGTAAATTTTAAATCTGATGATGGCGCTGTTGTCGCCGAATCGTAATGAAAAAAACGATGTTCAAAATTTTTACTTTACACTTTGACTGAGACCCAGGAACGATAAAAAAATCATAACAAGTACACGCAGTCAGGAAAATAAAAAGAAAAAAGTAACTACATTTTTTAGGAGCAACATTTTAACATATGGGTCTGAAACGCAAACTGCATCGGTGCGTTGGGTTGGCGCAACAAGCCATTTCGGCATCGCTGCGCCAACTCATGAAAATTAACTGAGTTACCCACGCTTAAAGCCGGGTTCTCATGAGTCCGGAATGCGGAAAACCTTCCGGCCAATCAGAAGTTTGCCGCATGCGCTAGCTCCGCCCATCCGCAGAAGTTTCCAAATTTGAAGGTGAAAACCTAGGTTATCTCCAGCGAAAGGTTTTGTTCAGCGGCGCCTATTCGACCTACTTTCATTTTGATGTATTTGGTTCCTTCTTTTCAGAACGTACAAAGACAAAAGCAGGGTTAAGTTTTGGTTTCAAACGTTCACTTCATGCGCCTCAAAATACTGGCAAGAAAAAATGTAGAAAAGAGTTCTACCCTGTCTGACTTCCCGAAAGATATGCCAACACTGTCGGCGGAATCCGGAAAAATAATCCGGATACTGTAGTAGTGGGCTGCGCGCGCACTTTCCGCGCTCCGCAAAGCATTCCGGACCCATGAGAACCAAGCTTTATACGAATGAGGCGGTTTTACGACTACAAGCCACTTGAAATATGCAAAATTATGCAGAATTGGTCGCGTTCAGCCAAAGTAAATAAAATCCTGTATAGTTACCTGATGTAATCCTGTTTGCACAAAATCATCCCACCCTTGGTGTAACACGAAGTTCCAATATCGCCCAACATGGCTCCACAACATGAACACTTTAAACATCCGTTATGCCAGTAACGGTCCAGGGCCTCGAGAAGGAACCGTTCCAAAATTTTGCTCCCGCACCCGCAGCATATTTTCACTGTACCGTTGTTATTGTTGTTCGTATTACTGGGGTTCGGATGGTGCCCAGGATGGTGCAAACTTTCAGGCGTCAAGGCGCCACTGTTGGTGAACGCCGGATGTTGATGATGGTTATGGGCGGGACCATTCTGCAAACCTGCAAAATTCAACAAGGCATTTCATTTTTTCGCTCGTTCGTTTCGATATTGATTGCAAGTTGTCTCAACTGATATATTCTTCCTCTATACTGCCCTGCTAAGACAAGAAGTAGTATTGAAGTAGTACTTCAGCTTATGCGGAATACTGGTATAACAGAGTTTGCTTTACCTCCCAGACAAGGTCTGGAAGTCGTATCATCATTAGAATACGGGTTTTCAATGATATTTATATGTCCTATCTGCAAAAATCTACCAGTTACCAGGTCAAAAAGTCGTATTGATAATTACCTAGTCATATTGTCGTATCTGCTTAAAAATATGTCACTTACGACATTTTGGCTTAGTATCTGTACTAAGTCGTAATGATCAAAAAGTCATATTGATAATTATTATTATTATTGAGTCTTTTTGCCGTATGGCGTATATGAAAATGTGGTTAGAGATATTTTGGTTAGAGTTCATTTATTAACTGATATTATTACTGCGATTATTTTAGTGGTTGTGTTTGTTAAGTTAGTTTCGAAAGTGTTATATAAGTTGTTTATATTTTAATTGTTGATATAGAGAACAAGGCAAGAATCTTATATTTAACTATTTCATGTGTTTCATCCGTGCCGTTTATTCTAAGGTTATGTGTTTTTTATTTATTTCTAGATGTCTGCTAGATCTAAAATGTTAGTTTTACTAGCCCTAAACAAGGAATTAGCTCAAAAAATGTCCACATATAGAGCTAATAATATACATGACAGACTAAACAAAAATTCTATTGATAACTCACACAATCCTGACTTTAATGTGGAGTCTTAATTGCCAACTGAGACCGCAAGTGAAAAGCCTGCAGAATTCATTGGAGATTTATTGAAGATTATCATAGAAAATGCTTTGAAAACCGGTGAACAAAATCAATCGCAAAAATTTACTAAACAAGGAAAAGTACGAAAACGGAAAAGTCACAGCAATACAGGAAAGAAAGAAACTGAAAAGGGAGGAAAAAATTGCACAGCATAACGTGCAAGAAACATGTAAGGAAAATTGTGCAAAAAAATGTACCCAAGCAATTGACATATGGAGACAAAATGCTATAAATAAAGAATTCTGGGAAATAACCCATGAACAACAGCGTCAACTTATTTTTACCACGTTAAAAAAATTCGATAAAAAAAGAAAAACTAAAGATGGAGACTTCAGGCGAAGTAATACAATTAACTACTATTTAAAAGCTAATACAGGGAATGATGTAAGAGTTTGCAAGAAATTTTTTTTGGCAGTTTTGTGCTATCCATAACGATAGAATAGTTAGAGATGTTTTGAATCAAACTGATTCAAAATGTATGTTTGTCAAACCTGAGAAAAAAATTGACAGAGAACACGTAGTTTGCCATATTAATTCTTTTAATCCAAGCATATCGCATTATAGAAGGGAACACGCCCCAAATCGAAAATATCTGCCCAGTGATATTAACATTAAATTAATGCATGCAGATTTTCTACAAAAGTACTCCGAAATGAAAGTTTCATACGAACTTTACCGCCAACAA